CTCCTCCCTGGGCGAGGAAATAGGTGGGTGTCGTCGCGGGGACGCCGGGCGGTGGGGGCCGGTTCTCGTGCGCGCCTGCGTCTCAGTGGCGGGCCGGCTGGGGCCCCTGAGCTGGAGAGCGGCAGGTGCTTCGCCCCCGCAGGGACTGAGTGAGTCTGTCTGGGATCCCAGCGCAGGTACTCTTCGGGGGAATGTTGGGGCAGGGTCTCAGGATTCCTGGGAGAGAGAGAGGTTTGCTCCCAGAGCTGGGTCAGGGGCCTTGCCCTTCGCGCCGACGTCCTTCCTCCCGCTCCTGCGCACACTTCGTCTCCTGTAGAAACCCTGTTCTGCCTCGATGGGCTCCCAGCCTCACCCCCAAAAGCCTGGCGAGCCCGTCATGTGGGGGAGGAACGAGAGGAGAAGGAAGGAACGCTGGAGAACGCCCAGTTAGAGGTGTCACCTCCAAAGAGAGGGATCCATGAAGAGGATTCCACTTACTTACGTGACTGAATCGTCATCCCTCGGCTCTAGGCCAGCCTGACTGCCGCTGAGAACATTGTTGCCATCAGAAAATGAGTTCTGGCCTCCCCACAGTCGGCACAGATCCAGCCTCTCTGTCACGGCCAGTGCACCTAGTGGGGACCTTCTCTGAGACGGTAAATAACAGGGCCATACCTGAGCTTCCGTCTTCTGTGCCAGACACTCTTCAGATCCGTGTCAGGAGCCCTGGAGCACGTCTGTTTCACAGCTCTTGTATCAGGGTTCTCCAGAGAAACAGAGATAGAGAATTCAGAGCCACAGGCAGAGATTTACGTTAAGGACTTGGCTCAGGCGATTGTGGGGGATGACAAGTCTGAAATCAGCCTGACAGGCGGGAAGCTCAGGCTGGGTTTCGATGTTGCATTTCTGAGGCAGAGCTCCTTCCTCAGGAGACTTCGGTCTTTGTTCCTAAGGCTTTCACCTGGCCGGGTGAGGCCCACTCACACTGTGCAGGGTGATCTGCTTTACTCAAAGTCTGCTGATTTAAATGTTAATCCCATCTAAATAATACCTTCCTAACAACATCTGGGCTGGCCGAGTACCCTAGCCTAGCCAAGGTGACACGTCACATTATCCATCACAGTTGCCTCCCAGCTTTTAAGTAAAATATTGGCACTATCTCGTGGTTGAGGGTGGCAGGGTAGGGTGAAGTACATTCCGCTCCCACGGAGTCTAGGCTGTGCACCGGGTAGGCCGGCGTTGGCTCTCCACAGCATTCCCCACCCTCGCTGGATCTCATCTGCTTCCCCACCTTCCCCAGCCTCTTGCCCCCTCTTGCTGGAGGTGCCCAGGCTGCTGTGTCACTGCTTCTCCCTCAGCAGCTCTGGATCCCTTTGCTCCTGGGACCCCCCTCTATGCCCGGGCTAACGGATTGCATTGAAGCGTCGTGAGCAAGCAGCTTGGCCCTTTAGGCTCGTTCATTAATTTAATAAACATGTGTTTAGCCCCTGCTGTGTGCCTGATTCTGTACTAGGTGCAGGAAAGCAAATGTGAATCAGCCTCAAGTCCAGATGGAGCACAGGTCATAACTAGTAGCAGGTCATAACTAGTCTGGAAGTGACATTCAGGGGGCATGCTCCCTCATTACAAAGGAATAATCATTTCCTGGCTTCATTTTAATCAGATCCTTTAGTTGTTCTGTGTCCTTGAAGATGGGCTGGTGCTCCAGAGCCATTTTGGAACTGGGTGATGTCACTGTAGGCAGGCTCGGAAACCCAGTGCTCAGCCCAGATGTTCTTGGGAATGAGGCTGAATGGAAAATTGTTAAAAAGTTAAGAAAACAAGACAGCAGGTCTGGGCTTGAGGTCTGGGGTCCCTGTGTCCCCATGCTGACATTGCAGCAGGCTCGTAATGCTGTCCATGTGTCTCATAAGCTTGTAACCAAAGCCAGAAGAGAGCAGCCGCAATTTATTACGAAGGAGCAGTGGTTTAGAGGTCCCCAGGGTGAAATAACACCACAGTTCTTTCTCATTTCCGAGGACCAATATTAATAATGCAGAGAAGGAATCTAAATATTGTAAGCTTTGAAGCAGGCAGTAACTTGCTTCTGGTTTGGTTTTGTGTTAAACACTTCTGCGTGGTAGATGCATATTTGGATTGCTCTTGCGTGTCTGGGAGAATTTCCTTGCTCTTTATTCCTGCATAAATACCTCTGACCAGAGTCTTGTAAGCTCTATTCAGAGTTTGGGAGAAAGTGAGAAAGACATTGGGAAGTCCATGTTTCTGGGCAACATGAAATGCCAGAGTAATATCTTTGATGGTTTCTAGTATCCAAATTTAATTTATATTGTATGCTTTGATATGAGGCTTCATGATTAGAGTTTGTAGAATCACAACTAAAGAACATGCCTCGACTTTTTTCAAAATTTTTTTTGTTCTGTCTAGGCCTTTTGAATGAGATTTGGTACCTACCATTTTAAGAAAACGTAACCCTAGCATAACTCAATTTGTACAAACACAAAGTCTTTTATTTTTATGAGCTGGTATCTCATAGGATCAGTATTGTACATGCCGGGTGCTGCCCTTTCTCCTTCCTCCTCGCCCAAGTGTTTACATGCAACCCACATAGTTACTAGCAGCTCTCATAATACAAACAAATTCATGTAGCAGACTCCTTCAGGCAACTTGAATATTGGGGCATGCTGTAGCTAAATTCATGTTGGTCCCTAAATATCTACTTGTGAATTGCTAAGTGGAGATCAAAAGACCAAATGTCATGATTTTATGAAAAATTGAGGGCAGAGCTAGAAAGTCCCTGAGCGGGTCTGTGTTTATGAGCCCACCTCAACTCTGCCCTGAGGCCCCCCCAGGCTGCTGTCCCTGAGTACTCAGCAACTTGTCCCTCCCAGAGGGAGATCTAGTGACCCGCTTCTTTTCTTACTGGCTGCTCTTGAGCTCCCCCTGGTGTTTGCTCCGTGGGCAATGCAGACACCCCACCCCCCACCCCCTTTCTGTTAGACTGTCATAACTTCTAATTGTTTTGGGTTAGAAAAGTGTAGCATTTATAAACACCTCCAGTTTGAATATGTTATTGAACAGCAAACTGAACTGTTTTGGAAACATGGAACATTTTTTCCTAGACTCATGAGATGATCTGTTTTCACCCGTGCTTGTAAGCGATAATGATTTGCTGGTGAGATCACGACCAGCACTCCTGTGGAAACACTGCAGAGAAGAAAGGACTCCTCTGAACTAACAGTAATAACCTGAAACATGGAACATTTTTTCCTAGACTCATGAGATGATCTGTTTTCACCCGTGCTTGTAAGCAATAATGATTTGCTGGTGAGATCACGACCAGCACTCCTGTGGAAACACTGCAGAGAAGAAAGGACTCCTCTGAACTAACAGTAATAACCCTGATGGAGGAGACCAAGATCTGTGTACTTTTAACTCAAGTTCTGGCAAGTGGGTGGGAAATGGGAGGTAGGGGACAATAGTGAGTCGGGAGTGGGACACAGAGCAGTTACTGGAGAGAGCTTGGGATTTGGCATGTCCTGTTATCTTACCTTAAAAATAGCAAGAAAGTAGTTCATATACTCCTTCAACAAGCATTAATTAGTTATTGATCACCAACTCTGCGCCAGAACCTATGCTAGACACAAAGATGAGTAAGGCCCAGCCCCGATCCCGTGCAGTCTGGTGGGGAAGACAGACTGAACAGTCAGTTCCAATGTTACATGGATAGGAGAAGGACAGAGTGGCGTAGACTGACAATAGCATAGGATGGGAATGACAGCAGGATACTAACCTGCCCTGATGGCTGGTGGCTGGGCAGAGAGAGGAGGTTGGGAAAGAGGGTCTGGAGAGGCAAATCCAGGCTGAAAGCCGAGCATGATAGGTAGGTGAGACATGGCCTGGTGTTGGGTGAGAGAGCTGCGGGAGTGCAGGGGCTGGGGGAGGCGAGAGAAGAGTGGCCCGCAAGGCAGGAGGGCAGCTTGCTGAGGTCCCTGCATGCCATTCTACGGAAATTAGACCTCACCTCACAATTGTAATAATAGGTACCACCTCTAGGGTGTTTACTACAGACAAGATCCTGTTCTGACTGTTTTCTTATGTGCTAGCTGTTATAAGCCTTTCAACCCTAAGTGATAGATACAGTTGTTCCCCTTTTACAGATAAGGACATGGAGGCACCTGAAGTCACATGGACAGAGTCTGGATTCGAACCCCAGTCTGGAAACTAGCTGTTACTCCTGTGCCCATGATGCAGAGACACTGAGATCTTTTAAGCAGGGAGTAGCAGGACAGATCTTCATTTTATTTTTATTTTTATTTATTTATTGTTTTTTAAGATGACCGGTAAGGGGATCTCAACCCTTGGCTTGGTGTTGTCAGCACCACGCTCAGCCAGTGAGCAAACCGGCCATCCCTATATAGGATCCGAACCCGCGGCCTTGGTGTTATCAGCACCGCACTCTACCGAGTGAGCCACGGGCCGGCCCCAGATCTTCATTTTAGAGAGACCACTCCAGAGCCTGGATTTGAGGGCACGGGGGAAGTCAGCACGTGAGGGTTGCAGGCCAGAGGAGAGATGAGGGTGGCGGGAGTTGAGAGAGATGAACATACCATTTTGTCCTGATCCCTGACAGGCCACTCCCTAGTGACAAGAGGCTTGCACTCTTGTTTCAGTTTTCATTTTCTGGATCAGCTCTGGAAAGGAGGGGAGGAGGGGAGGCCCAGGGCCCGAGACAGAGCAGTGACTTTGTGCTGGCCACCTCCTGTCCCAGCAGCTCCTTGGCTCCTCAGAGGGTTTTAATCTTCCTTCAGTGCATGCACTTATCCCAGCTCCATTCTCAAGGTCAAGACAGCGTGGCTCTGGCCTGGAAATGCCTTCTCCAGAAATGAAGCTTTTGTTTATTCCCCTTGTGCTTGCTGTCTGATCTGTTCCTTATTTTCTAAATATGAATGGACAGCCCAGATCTTTAGGCACATTACCCAGGCTATGATCAGGCATGCACACATTTGCAAAATGTGCCCATGTGATGGACACGCTCAGCTTGTCCTCTGCCACGTGCTTTCCTCTCACCCCAATCTGACTGCTGTCTGGGAGCCTTCACCAGTTCCAGCACCAGCTTCCATCAACTCTGCCTCCCTCCTCCTCCACACAGGTGGCCTTTTAACTCTTTCAACTAAGACCACTTCCAAAGGATTTATGCTGCGTTACCTTCCTGTGCCCTGTGAAGTTGTTGGAAGGCTTAGAACACAGCTCCATGTAGCACAACAAGCATTTAAATGCTGTGACATTTTCAAGGGTGCTACAATTAATTGGGAATTACTACTCAATTAATTTGAAGTGCACCCACCACTTGGGACCCTTGGCTTACTCCCCTTACCTTCAGTTGAGGCTGTGTCTAAGGGGCAGGCAGCGTGTCTGCTTCCCTGGCCTCACTGCCGATTCCCTCTGAGCACCTGCAGTCATCTCCCCATCTGGAGTCTCCTCTCCTCTGCCTTGTCAGAGGGTTGCCCTAGGCCAGCACTTCAAACCCTGTGATCTGCTTACCCTTTGGGTCCCCAGGACCCTTTTCGAGGTCCACTTTTTCATAAAACACAATACTTACTTGAAAAAAAAGTCTGACAGACATAATTTAATTATTCAGACTTGGATACTGGACAGATAATTTCTCACCAAGGGATTAAGCGAGCCTGACACTTTTAGAAACATAACTGATGGTATTTGTTGCCAAGAATAAAATTCAAGCTTTCAGCCAGAAGCATGGAAGCTTCCCATACTTAAAAACTGATGAGATCTGTGGTGACCTTAAACAATGTGGTTTTTGATACTTTTTAATGAAACGCATCAATATTTGGAAGCTCTGACTAACTTATCGAATTGAGAGTTTTCAAATGATCATTGCACAATATTACAAAAGTAGGCATGGATGAAAGATCCATTTTACAAGCAAGATAAGACTAGTGGATTTTAATGCAACTGTGCAAAAAAAAAATTCATTGATATGTTTCAGATTCCACATTGTAACCAACTTTTAAGAAGCTAGCGCTTGTGGAGTTTTGATGAAGTATCAAAGAAGAGTATTGACAATTCCCTAGAAGGACTCCTAAAATAGCCCTTCTTTTCTCAACAGTGTTTCTGAGTCTTCATTTACTTCAACTAAAACAACTATTGCAACAGTTTGAGGGCGGAAGCAGATGTGAGAAGCCAGCTGTCTTCTACAAAGCCAGACGTTTAAGAGAGTTGCAAACATTTAAAACAGTGCCAATCTTCTCACTATTTTTTGTTTTGAAGTTATTTTTGTAAAAAAGTTATTGCAAAATAAATCAATAAATATTTAATAATTTTCTTTTTACCTTGTAGTGTGGTAAATATGGATAGATATAATACACATAAGCAAAAGATCTTTGGGTTGTCAATAATTTTCAAGTGCATAAGGGGGTCCAGAGACCAAAACATGAGATCTAATGTCATGTCATCCAATTTTTCTAGCTTAAATATGATTTGAAATTTTTTGACAAGAAACTATTCAATAAAGAATAAATAATAAAGCACTTTATTACCAAAAAAAGTACAAACAAGTGCTTAAACTGTGAAGTACTGAATGAGCTCTTAGTTGGAAGTGTTCAGGAATTATGGCAACGTTTATACAAAGCATAGATCCTCTCAAATCTAGAGACTGGTAAATTTTTTTAAGAGTCAGGTAGTAAATATGTTAGGCTTTGTGGACCCCAGGGTCTCTGTCTCCACAAATCAGCCCTGTCGTGTAGACAGTAGGCGCACAATGAGTGTCTCTGTATTGCAGTTCAGCTTTATTTACTGAAACAGGTGATGGCCAGATTTAGCCATCAAATTTGCCAACTCCTGCAAAATTTCCCCCAAAAGAACATTGTAGGATTTTTAGATGAAATAGCCAGGTACCCTATGTTCATTCATTGTGTTCCAAAAGTATATTAATGTTCCTGCTTGAAACTGGAATCTGAATACTTTTGAATTCAGGGCTTGTCAGTAGAGGCACCTTTTGCAATGTTGCTATAATAGTGGCTTGCATTGAGAGTTCTACTGTCTAGGGAGTGGGAGGAAGACCCCCGTGGAGGGGGTAGCAGGACTCCAGTGAGAAAGGCCAGCGGCTCAGGGTCTTGTGCGGGGTGTGGTCACTCTAAGCACAGCCTTGGTGTGTCCACATGGCTGTTTGGTGTACCTGAAATATGTACCCTTACCTCTCCCTCTCTCACAAACAGGCACTGTCCTTGCCCCAAGTTAAACTTGTATTGCGTATGGGATTTTTGACGCTAAAGCCGGCCTTAGAAATCCCCTTATTATTCATTGACTCTGGTTTCAGGCTGGTTTCTGGGAATCTCAAGCCACATGTATGTTTATAGACTGCTTCAGGCCATTCCCACCCTTTTCACCAGGTGACCTGCTTCCCTCTACCTGTCCGCTCCTTGTCATCCTCTGCGCTATGGGAGCCGTGGGTACCCCCGGGCCTCTCAGCCGGCACCGAGAACTGGGAAACGTCTGGCCTTCAGTGGAATGAAGCGAGACGTGGATTTACGCTGTAGCTCAAGCTCGGTGCACCACCGCGGCTCCACGGCCGCCCATGCAGGAGCCTCCGCACTCAGTCCCCAGGGGTCTTCTTGGTGCCAGCGGCAGGTGTAGGGCTGCGTGGAGGTCAGGGCTGGTTTTCTTCAGCACTCACCAGCACTCAAAAGCAGTAAGGTGGAATCGAAGGCTGTGGCTGTTACTGGCTGAGAACGCACCGGTCTTCACGAAGGCACCAGCATTAGACGCAGACCCTGCTCACCGTCACTAGGATCCAGGTCCTGCGGCCACAAGCAGCCCCTGCTTCCTAGGACCTTTACCTGCTCCCGCAGAGTCCACCTTCGAGATGTTTCGGAACCTTTGGGAGAATGGCTTCACAAAGCATGTCACTGTAAAGAATGTGAAACCATAACAAGCATTTAAATAGAACTTAGATGGTCCAAGAGCACCAGTAACTGAGTGGGTTTATGAGTATTTCTATGTTGATTCCCCCCAGCCAATGTCTCCTTCCAAATCTATAGTAAATTATCTTAAAAATATGTATGTAGATGGATATCTTAACTTTATTGGTGGCATCTAATTAGTTTCAGGTATTGAAAGATTTACTTTAACATTTTTTCCTAGATAATGTGATTCTACAGAGAAAAAAAGTAAGCTTATCACTTATGTGTTCTTAGATTCTCATGATGCAGTTTTGAGATTTAACTCTGCTCCTACGCGTGGTTATGAGAAAGATGTTGGAAATAAAACCACCATGCGCATCATTAATTCCCAGGTAAGACACATGGAGTGTTTTTGTGGATGTATATTTTGTAGGTAGATAGTTTAACTGGATGAGTGAAATGACCTGGTTATTGATGACCATGATACTTGCTTTTTTTCTCTGGGTCCTATAAAGAATTAATGAGGAAAAATGCAGAGAAATGGGAATTTAGATATAATATGAATAGGAAGAAGCGAGTAAATAAGATTAAAAGGAAAAATCAAAGTAGATAAATATACCCATATTTATAATGATAGACTTAGCATATTGTGTTTTATGAACTGGGAAAGGGCAGTTAAACTTAGAAGAAATCATGTCAATAAGAAAGGCCAGGGATACAGGAGAGAAAATCAAAGATACAAAGTCTGAAGGTCTGCAGTATATTTTTGAAACTTTAGTCTGTAATTTGGAAGTTAAAAAAAAGGATAACTGAAAATGAAAATACCTCTTTTCTTCATGTTCTTAAGAATGTCAAAGGTATAGCAAAATTATTCTCAACAATTTCTAGAGTTTCAAAAATATGTGGTGATGAGTGATTTATGGTGAACTGCTTGCAGAACAAAAGATTAGCTTTCTGCACAGTGCACCGTGCCAGGCAGCCTGCAACGAGGTAAGAAACAATTACCTTATTTCCTTAAGTCGTAGATGTCGACTATAAAATCCACCATTCATGTAATAACAACTCAGAGAGGAGGAGAGAAACCCCACCAAATTAAAGTACTTATTAATGTCACTTCTAAGATATGTCCTAACTTCAGAAACATGTCAAGTTAAAATGTGAAGAAAGTACATCTTAGTAATGGTAAAAAAAAAAAAAAAAGAAGTTTCGTCTTAAAATACAGGGAAAGCAGTATGTTATTTTTTTCCAAAGATATAGTTAAAAAAAAAAAGATGATTGGCAGGTGAGACTGAAGAGTTCATCCAGAACCAGACAGGACCACAGCAGGAGGACCGTGGCTGGCATCCCCGAGGCTCCTGAATGACAGTTCATAGCACCATTTTCTCTCCATGTACACGTCAGGGCAATTGTAGAAGAGACTGAAGGGCCTGAATTAGCCAGGGAGCTACACCTTTCAGGAGCTGAATTCCATACCACTAGGTATGGGTACAGTGCTGGCAAAAATGTAAGAACTGGTGGTATTTTAAAAACCTTCCTTCCCCAAACAGTCTTTCTGTGCTTCAGCATGCAGTGCCAGCCTCTCTCACTCCCCCAGGGGAAAGCAGAAAATCTGAGCCTTTGTTTTCTTGCTCTGGTTCCTATTCTTAACTTTTACCTCTTTTAAAAATATAATTTGGGAGAACCAAACAATTTTGAAATGGGTTTCCTGTGTGTTTGCAGATTCTGACCAACCCCAACCATCACTTCATGGACAGTTCTTTGTATAAAGATGTTATTTTGGTGGCCTGGGACCCTGCTCCTTATTCTGCAAATCTTAACCTGGTAAGTGTCTCCCTTGGTGTGCCTACTCCAGTGGTCAGACAACGCCTGTGACTGATGAATCATGGCAGCGGTCAAGGATTAAGCTTTGACAGACAAAATGAAACTGATCACGGGTACTGATTAAATACATGTGTGTGCACACCATTTTGCTACCCAGCTGCAGTAGCATTCTTGGTGAGCAGTATCACAGTGTTTTTGTTCTTGAAGATTGGAAAGAAAAGAAAAGTAGAATATCTAAATGTTCAGAAATTCCTCATTACACTGAAGGTTGAGCTGATTTAAGCTCAGTATGGCTCCATTGTGAAAGGGTTATAGCACCTTCCAAGTAGTTGCAAGAACTTTTGAAATAAATTGGAAGTGGTTGGCAAGAAAATCTAAACTTTGTGACTCCACAGCTCATTGCTGTTTAAATGGAGCCTGTCCCAGGCTTTTCTTGAACCTGTCTAATTTCTTGCAATAGAGCTGAAACAAGTTTATTACTAGCCATTGAGATGCAAGCAGATTATATTTGGGACATTCTGGTAAATCATTGTCTGTCTAAACAAGCAGCCAGTTACTTTTGATGAAATCTTGCATGCAAAGCCAGTGCACATGCTTTTTAATGAGGGCTGAGAAAGATGGATGATATTTAGGTTAGCAGAAGATGCTGTTGGCTGTGCAAATGAGTGTCTTTGACTTGTTTTGCCATGGCCAGAGAGGATACAACCTTCTTAAGATAAACGCAGGGACAAACCTTGGCTCCTCCAAAGGGTGACTTTCCAAGAGAGTCACCCAGAATAGAATGGGTCTCTTCAGAAGAAGTGCTTGGGTCACTGTTCATCTTGAGATGGAGGCTGGACATTTACCTAGCACGACTGCTAACTGGCTGTTAACCAGGGATACAAATCAAAATCGCTTGGAGAGTACTTTCAGAATCTGTCAGAGTTCCATTTCCAGAAATGTGGGATACAGCCTTGTGCATTCTTTGAGAATGCTCTCTGATTGATTCTCATATGTGCCCTGTACTGAGAATCAAGTATCAGATGGCTGTTTGAACTTCTCAACTTCCTCCCCTGCCCAACGTTCCCTTGTTTTAAGCTCTGGCAGTTTTCTTGCAGACTGAGAGCTTCTAGCTATTAGACCTTGTTTGTTCCTCTGTTGAAGCATCCAAGCCCAGGGCAAAAGACTGTCCCCATTCTGCAGATGTGGGCAGTGACAGAGCTAAAACCCAAGTTTCTCAGCCCTTGCTATGGGGCTGGTGCTGCCATGAGAGGCCCCAGAGGTGGGAGATGGGGAACGCCTCTCCTCTGGCCCCTCATTCCATTTTCTTCCCTCCTGGTGCCACATGGCTTGGGCACTTAATTTGTTTATGATGATCTGGTCCAGTCATTTTAAAAACCTTTTTATCACTGGAATATTACTCGGGAATATTAATATGAGGGTACTTCAAAAAGTTTGTGGCAAGGGCCGGCCCAGTGGTGCACTGCTACAGTGCGCCACTTGGGAGTGCGGTGGCGCTCCCGCCGAGGGTTCGGATCCCACATGCAGACCGGTTCCCGCTCACTGGCTGAGCGAGGTGTGGGAGCAATGCCGAGGGTTGCGATCCCGTTGCCGGTCCTGGTCCGGTACGGGCGCGACACTGAGGGTTGCGATCCATTGCCGGACACGAAAAAAGACAAAAAGGAAAAAAAAAAAAAAAAAAGTTTGTGGCAAGATTCATATTGTCTTTTAATTAATTCTTTCTGCAAACTTTTTGTTTGTGGAACCCTGTTTGAAGCCTCTCCCCACACACCCTCTCCAAATTCCATATCATAGTGACACCTGAGACACTTCTGAAGACTTGTAAAAATCAATATTATTATTGGTATTTATACAATAATTTACATAGAATAAGGATAAGTGTACATTTTGATGAGTTCTAGCAAATCTATACACTCATGTATTGCCATCACAGTCACCACTAGGACATTTCCATCACCCCAAGGAGCTCTGTTGTCAGTCCATCCTAGTCAATTTTCCCAGCCCCAACCCCAAGCCCTGGTGGCAGTGGTATGCCTTCTGTCACTATAGATGAAACTTGGAAAACTTATTTTTCAAATTCACTGATCCAGCCCAGGGGTCAGCAATCTCACAGCCATAGGCCAAATCTGGCTACCCCGTCTTTATAAATAAAGGTTTATTAGGACACGGCATGCCCAAACACTGTGTATTTTCTGTGGCAGCTGCCATGCTGCCATGGCAGAGTTGAGCAGTGGCAGCAGAGACTACGTGGCCTACAAAGCCTAAAGTGTTTGCTATCTGGCCCTTTGCAGAAAAAAGCCTGCTGACCCTGATCTAGCCCATCTCCCTCATTTTACTAGAGCATAAGGCGTTGTTCCTGTGCGTTAGAACCCTGCTGTCTGCTTGTTTCCTCATCCCAGTGAGGAAGTGTCCAAGAAGTGACAAGCCGTGGCCTCCCTCCCCAGCCTGGCCTCCCTGCCTCTAAATATGCCCACCTGGGTGCTGCACTGTCTCCTTTTCACAGTGTCAATCTCTATACTTGGTGGTGTTGATTTTTTTTTTTCTTAGTGGTACAAGAAGCCAGATTACAACCTGTTCGCTCCGTATATTCAGCATCGTCAGAGAAACCCAAATCAGCCATTTTACATTCTTCATCCTAAGTTTATATGGCAACTGTGGGACATTATCCAGGAGAACACTAAGGAGAAGATTCAGCCAAACCCACCGTCTTCTGGTTTCATTGGTAGGTGCATGTTAAGAACTGGAGGGCTTGGGTGGGTGGGCAGGGTGAGGCCTAATAATCAATATACAGTTATGTCATATAGTTAAGAGCAATTAACAGGCAGGTTTTGGAGGAAAGTAGATTAACTGAGGAAAAGAGAAACACTCTGTTCCAGTTATCTCTTACTGTGTAACAAACTACTGCAAAATTTCAAGGTATAAATAAGAAAACTTTTCTCTCGTGATTTTGTGGGTCAGCATGGGCCTGGGTGGTGCTTCTGTTCCACATGGCATCCACGGGGTCACTTCATGGTATCAGGCTGCTTCATCAGAGGGCTTCACTCATGTGTCCAGCCCCTTGGCAGGGATGGCTGGACGTCAGACTCAGCCAAGACTGTTGACCCTGTGCCTGAACCTAGTCTCTCTTTGATAGTGATGTCAAGGTAAGTGGACTTCTTAAATGGCAGCTCAGGGATCCTAGGGAGAGGGCTCCAAAAGCCAGGAAGCAGAAGCTGCTGGTTCTTTAAGGCTAACACCTGGAGACTTGAACAGTGTCACCTATGCTGTTCTGTTGGTCAGAGCAGTTGGGAGCTCACCAGATTCCAGGGACAAAACATAGACCCTCCCTCTTGAAGGGAGGTGGGGGAGGTGTGTCCAGGATCCTGCAGCATCTTCAGCCCCCACCCACTCCCACTCACATAGCGTATGCGACGCCAGGCTGAGGAGCTAAATGTGTGATCGCAGGATAGAGTGCTGTGTTACAGGGTCACTGGGAGGTAGGGACTTCCATGAGACCACCTCCAGTGTCTCATTCAGCTCTCTCAACCAGAGAGTCCACTAGCTCTAATCCAAAAATGGTTTTACAGAACAAGATAATCACCCTTGGCCTTTTTTTTTTTTTTTTTTTTTTTTTGGCTTTTATCCTCAAGGTTTGGGGTTTTACCCCATTTCTTTATCTATGTTTCAGCATATCACCCCATTATTTCTTTGATTTGACCTGAGTCGGGCAATATTAAGGAATATCTTAGATCCCCTTGGCAATATAAAAGGCTGTGATAGAGCCAAAGGATATTGGTTTTGACTGTAAGGGACTGTGATGTTCTCTACCCCAGTTTTAATGAGTTTACAGCCCCACACCTTCCTTGGGCCTCACAGTGGACACATGATTTATACGTTGGTCGTGGACACAGGACACAATATCCTGAATTGAGGCTTGAATGTTCTNTTCTCTACCCCAGTTTTAATGAGTTTACAGCCCCACACCTTCCTTGGGCCTCACAGTGGACACATGATTTATACGTTGGTCGTGGACACAGGACACAATATCCTGAATTGAGGCTTGAATGTTCTGGAGTGGATTTTTGCTATTATAATAATGTGAAATATTTTGTATAAAATTCAAGAAAAAGTTTACAATATGGTTACACTATTTTTCTTAAGCACAGCTTTCCTCCCCTTTAAATTCATGCCTTTGATGTTCTTTTTCTTCAAAACACTCTTTTAAACTCCTTGTTCTTTATCTTTTGTGTATTTGCATATCATCCAGCTGATTTAGGAAAGAAAGTATAATGTAGTTTGTCAGCAAAGGGTAAACAGGACAGAATAATGCTTAGAATGTGTAATAGGATGTGGCAGAAGTTTAATAAAGTCTTTTTCATGTCATCGCCTTCTCATGAATTCATGTGGCTAATATTTGATTAGAACAAAAGTTTTTAAGCACAGCTGGGGAGGGGCTGTCAGATATACTTATTATTGACATGTAGTTTGAAAGATTCAGGTTAGATAGTCATAGCTGAGAAAAGTACTTTCCCATGTGTTTTCATTGCAAGAAAGCATGTCACATACGGCCAGCTTCCTTTCACAGCTACTTACTGGGAATTCAGAGCTTTTGGAGCTGTTGACGCCTTCAAGTCCTTTTTTGCTTGAAGAAGGGAGAGTACAGGTTGATGTCACTGTGGAAATGCAGGTTGGGTCGCACAGGCTTGAGTTTGCATTCTGCTCTGCTGCTTCTAGCTTTCTGACCTTGGGCAAGTTACTAAATCCTCTGACCCTCAGTACGCTTAAATGAGAAATGGAAATAATAAAGCCTTTCCAAGGATGAGGTAGCTGGCCCATTTGCAGTCAGGATTCTTTTCTAGCACTGTCCTGCCCAATATGGCAACTGTTAGCCACATGCAACTACTAACGTTTTGATTAATTACAATTAAGTAAGAGGAAAACCTCCACTTCTCAGTCCCACTAGCCCCATTTCAAGTTCTCAGTAGCCACGTGCTACCGGTGGCTACCCTAGTAGACAGTGCAGATAGAGAACATTACCGTCGACACAGGAAGTCATGTAGGACAGCACTGTTAAGCTTTGCAAATCACCAAAGAATGAAAAACAGTATGTTAGTAAGGAATCATTAACTTCCCAGTGGGCAGGCTTTGTTCTGTGGGTGGGGATAGAGATGCAGTAGAAGACCTGGGCTGACATCATTAAATTCATTTTCTGCTCTTGTGCCTTGACATAGCTAAGTGTGTGAGAGCCCTCACCAGGGATAGGTGACAGGGACAGCCTGGGTGAGCTCTGGCCAGCCCAACCCTAATGCCCCTGTAGTCTTTACACCTCCTCTTTGATCTTGATCAGAAATAGGCTAAGAGCCAAAGTCTGTCTTATAATTTATCTGACGTCCTTAGATAGCAGTAAAATGACGTCACCCACATTCCTGTCTGTCTTCCATAAATTTTAAAAATCAGTAAGTGGTTTGGTTGGATTGTTTTTTTTCTGTGATCAAAAAGTGTTCTGCAAATGTCCCTCATGTTCCAAGGTCCTGTTGAAAACGCCTTGATGTGTCTCACCCCGCCCCACATCTTCAAATACTCTAACTTCTAACGTCAGTGGGCACCGTCCTGTCCTTGCCCCGGATACTTGGGTCAGCAGGGCTGTCCTCATCAGAGGAGACCCGTGGCAGTGTCCCAACCTGCTGCTGTCCTAATCCACGCAAGGCTCCACGGTAAGTGGAGCAGGATGAATCACTATCTTTACCGACATACTTATCAGGTATACAGGTGCTCCTCCACTTATGATGGGGTTACATCCCAAAAAACCATCATAAGTTGAAAATACCCTGTTGAAAATGAATCCAGTACAGCTAAGCTACAGAACATCACAGCTTAGCCTAACCTACCTTAAATGTGCTCAGAACACATACATTAGCCTACAGTTGGGCAAAATCATCTAACACAAAGCCTATTTTATAGTAAAGTGCTGAATATCTCATTTAATTTATTCAATATTGTACTGAAAGTGAAAAATGTAATGGTTATGTGGGTCTTCGAGGTATGGTTTCCACTGAACGCATATCACACTTGCACCCTCACAAAGGTGGAAGATCGTGAGTGGAACCACCATAAGTCGGGACCATCTGACAGGCATGTCTACACCCATAGTTGGTTTTATATTGTCTTTTCTCATCAGTCTTTTTGGCTGAAACCTTCATCGTTTTTTTTCGCATATGGATGCATACATGTGGTGCTCATCCACATGTGGAAACAGTCTCACATGCCATTACCTACATTTCTAAACCCACTGTGTACATTTTCCTTGTTCATGTTTAGGAATCTGCATGTGTGAAATACAGGGACTCTGAAAGTTGATTATTTTGAACACAAAAGACATTTCTTTCTCATCAGTCTTTTTGGCTGAAACCTTCATCGTTTTTTTTCGCATATGGATGCATACATGTGATGCTCATCCACATGTGGAAACAGTCTCACATGCCATTACCTACATTTCTAAACCCACTGTGTACATTTTCCTTGTTCACGTTTAGGAATCTGCATGTGTGAAATACAGGGACTCTGAAAGTTGATTATTTTGAACACAAAAGACATTTCTTTCTATGGAAATGTATCCAGTGGGAATTAGATTCCCAGGGAGATGCACCTGAACCCCTTAAATGTAGTGCTATTGGTGCTGTTCAGAGGCCTTGCTACTGGGGCCTGAACTCATATGGAGGAAGGTGGCGAACAAGGAAGGGGAGAGGCATCCATTGAGTGGATATTAATTGAGCACTTCCTGTGTGCCAGGCACAGGGCTGGGCCCCGGACATGTGGTGGTGAGGAAACCAGGCAAGGCTCCTGCTCACCTGGAACTTGCAGTGCAGGGGAGAGGGGGCAGACATAGATAAAATGTAATTACAATCTGTGATAAGAGCGTGAAGGGAAACAGGGTCCATCAAGGGCTGGGCAGTGCCTGGCACACAGGAAGTGCTATCATTGTTTTTGCCTATCATTGTGTCCCTGCTCTTAGGTTGGCCCATATTAGATACAAAAAAATAATGATTCACTGAATGAATGAATGTTCTAGCTCAGTGATTTTCAAGGTTTAGCATATGTCAGAATCCTCAGAAGCTTTGTGTATTAGTAGTACACTGCTGCAAAGCGAAACTTAGATACCGAAAAGAACAATAAGCATTTACTATCTCACACAGTTTCCATGGGTCAGTAGTACAGGGGCAGGCTGGCTGGATGGCTCTGGCTTGCAGTCTATCATGAGGTTTCAATCCAGACTCAGGCAGGATGATCCGCTTCCAAAGTGGCTCCCTTGCATGGCCACTGGCAGGAGACCTCAGTTCCTCACCACGTGACCCTCTCCATAGGGCTGCTTGGGCATCCTCACAGCATGGCAGCTGGCTTTCCAAGAACAAGGGATCTGAGAGAGAGAAGGAGAAAGCCACAACATTTTTATGATGTCATAAACTATCACATTTGCTACATTCTGTTTGTTACACAGTCAGCACCAGTGTTGTGGGAGGGAACGACACAAAGGTTTGAGTTGCAGGTGGGCATCATCGGGAGCCAATCTGAAGGGTGGCCACTAGAGCTTTTTAAACCAGACTGATGGGCCCACCTCCAGGGTTTCTGAGTAGGAGGAGGTTGTGAGAATTTTTTTTCAGGTTCTCAAGTGGTGCTGACACTGCTGGTCCTGGGACCATACTTTCTTTTAGAACCATTCTTTTGGCTTTTACCTTGGAGAGCACT